CCGTTTCACGTCTCCGTAGAGACGCACACCTGTAAACCCGGGGTCCAGAAGGCCCGGGGCCCCTGAGCACTATCAGATGCCAGAGCAGGAGCTCACCGGATTCCTCAGGGCTGACCTCCCATGACAGATGAGAGACAGCGGGCAAAGGAACGTCGCGACCAGGCGGCAGCATGAGGGCAGTGCTCTCGGAGCTACCCGTCCTCTTCTCAGGTGTGGCTGAGCTCCGTGCGAACCAGGCAGGAGCGCGGCTCCCATCCCAACAGCCCTGGCAGCGGGCAGCCCTGGGTTGGACTCTTCTGCTCCCGAGTGCTGTCTGGGCATCGTGGGCACAGCAGGCTGCCGGGCCCCCGTGTTCTCGCCTGGGAGACAGGGGTGACACGAGGTGCAACACGAGGCACCGCAGAGGAGCAGCTCAGCGCCCCGCCAGCGCGGGGCACGCCATTTCTTTACGAGAGAGGTATCCAGAGGTGAGGCGGGCCGTGCTCAAGGGAAGGAGGAAGGGAGACCACTGCGGGCATTATTTCTATTAATAGAATGAGGTCCTGGCCCAGCACCAACGCCGGACTCTCCCGGAGGACTGAGAGGCCGCTGCCCGGGACCGCAGGCCATCTTGCTCCCCCTGCGCTCCCAAACCCAGGTCAGACGTCCGAGAGTGAGCACACCATGGGCCAGGCCAGGCCACGGCGCTCGTGTGGCTCTTGGCAAATCACTCTCCGCGTCCCCCGTCTACACCGAATGCAGGTTTGTCTGCTTTACTGTGGAGTGAGCCAACAAATGCGGTGAGTTTCCTCCTGCTCTGGGCCTAAAGCCCAAAACAAGAATCGCCCTGGTGCAGGGCTGAGAGAGGACTTTAAAATCACGTGCTTCAAAAGCAGATGTTTATTATTACACTAACTATTCTGGAAGCTTCGTTTCATTAGAAGGAATTTGATAGAACCAATAGTTCAGTTTGCAAAGTTTAAAGAAGTCTCCTTAAAAACACAGTCAGGACATACCGTGTTCTGTAAGTTTTCTCTACGAGTGCTTTCCCAGGCGACCAACCAGGATTTACAAACGGTTACAGGGTGTGGGCTTTGGAATCTTGACTCCAGAGCGAGACCCTCGCCAGCACGCCACCCTGCCTGCGCTGACGTCATCCTCAGGGCCAAGGGCCCAGGAGGAGGCAAGCTCCCCACAGTGGGCACTCAGAACTGCTGTCCAGCGGCCGCTGACCTCACTCCCTCCCCCACCCAGCCCCAGAAGTCCTAGCACTGATCAGAATGCAGGCCACACATCTATCAGGAAAAAGCCATTTTTCCTCCTATGTCATATCCAAATTCGCTGATTTTCTGCAAAGCTGCAGAAGACCACCTAGGGTTGCCAGATGACAGTCTGAGGAAATGCAAACCATATTCTAATCCACATGTCAGAAAAACCGTCAGAGGCTGGGCCGCTCAAACTCCTTAATTCCTGCTCCTATGCACGTACGGCTGACTTTCTGACTTCATTTCCTCCGGCCTCACACCGCTGTTTCACGGCTTCCTCCTGCTGTCCCTGAAGAACCTGTTAGTCCTTTTATCTCCCATAGATAGCATCTGGCACCCTGCAAGCAGGTACATAGTTAATAAATTGGGTTTAGATTTATTATGTGACTTATTATGGGTTGGATTGTGTCCCCCCCGAATTCCTATGTTCAAGTTCTAACCCCCAGAAGCGCAGGAAGTGACCTTATTCGGAAACAAGGTCGCTGCAGATGTAACTGGTTAAGTTGAAGTCACACTGGGGTCAGGTGGTCCTAATCCAATGACGGTGTCCTTATAAAAGGGGAGGTGAGGACACAGCAGAGGCCACAGGGAATGCCATGGGACTCTGGGTGAGTGCTGGACCCCCTTCCCCAGCACCTTCCAAGGGAGCGCGGGCCTGCCTACACCCCAATCCTGGGCCTGGGCCTGCAGGACTGGGAGAGAGCAGGTGCATGGGGCAGCCCGCCCGGCTGCGGCTCTGTTACGGCCCCAGGACACAGACACCCAGCCTGACAACTTAACCCAATCTAAACGCTCACACAGACACCCAGGACATCTAGCAAGACAAGAAGGTAGCAGGACTTTCAACAGTGATCCACAGATGTAGATGGAGGGAGTGTCTCCCTGGAGCACTTTACCGATCAGTGTGTGTTCTGTGCTCCGGGGCCCAGGGAGAAAGAACCAGGCTCCCTGAGATTCTCGCACTGAATCAAGCAACTCCATGTGCCATGTCCCTAAGCAAAACTAAAGCAGTGTGCCATGACTTCCATCATGTCAATGCATTTATTAGTGATGGTCCGCCCTCTAAAACTTGTACATCTTGATTTCACCCTCCGATGAAATAGTCTAAAAAATGTTTAAAGTGGGAATTCATGAGCTCCAGGTAGCAGGACTCCCTGGATTCTGCAGCCTTTGTGTGTTCCCATCCCAGGAGGGATGAGTGTGAGGTCAGCAAAACGTCCCAGCCATTACTGGAGAAAATCAAAGCGCAAGAGCTTCGTACACGGAGATCTGGGGAACCATGTAATCCCATTTTGTCTCCCCTAGAGCAGAGACTATGTCGGCGGCAATAATGGAGAGTGTCTCTTTTCTGAACTGCTTGGGTAAAAAGTGTACTCACCACGCGCCCCCACCGCCCCCGTGCCCCTAACCTTCCGCCTAAAGAAAAGCAGACTGCATCAAGGGGAACCCAAACAGAAAACTTTCACAATCTGAACCGAAATGAATGTCCTTGTGGTTCTCCGCCCCTTTTACTGGCTCCGAAGTAGAACAAATGAACGTAACGCAAGAGGCACATTAGTCCATGTTTTCTTAATGAAAGGCACATGGGAAACCCGAGCCACCCCAAACTTTCCTTCACTCCCTGCCATCCCCTGTCTCATGGTCTGTTTCCAACTGTGACGCTGCAGGCTGCTCACACCACATGAACCAGCCGTCAGGGTGTCTATGTGGCAAACTGGGGTCAAGTTAAGGCCCTTTCAACTCCCCATAAATATTCAGTGAGGTTTCCAAACGCTCACACAGTTGGGTGAAAGCTGCCCCCCGTCTGCTTTGGGGCTCACGGTATTTGGTGTGCAAGCTCAAAGAAAATACCTCTGCTTAAGAAATGCAGCAGCTCATGAAACTTCAGAAACCCCAGGTTTTTTAGAGGCAGACACTGGCTAATATTTTACTCCAAAAACCTACCGTTGAACCAGAGAATCAGGAGCTCTGTCCATACTTTGTGCCTTTGACGTGAAACTTGCACTGTGGCAGCGTCAGTCGGAGCCGCGGGGCGGGGATGTGGGGGGGGGACAGTGGCAGTTGGGCTCCTGTGAGCTAAACCCTGTATTCACTCCTCACTCCTCCCCTCCTTTTAGGAGGGTGGAAGGGGTGCTACAGTTCTGAAAGCAAATCTTAGAATGTACAAGAAAATGATGATTGAAGTCTGCCAATCAAAGTCATGCAGTTATTATGCCAAATAACATGCATCGATAGTGACATGTTTTTTATCCAGACAGCACATGAAGTTTCTTAAAGCTTCACTCTCGGTCACGAACAGCATTTTGTAGCACCCTGTTTGGGTGCACTGAGCGTGCATTGTCAGTGCCCTGCAACATCTGTCTTTTATTACCAGACGTCCCGATATCCAGATGACAACAAAGTATTCTGAGTGCCCTGAAACTTGGATTCGGCTCCTTATTCCTGTCTTAAATCATAATTTTATTGTGACATCAGGTTCGTTTACAAGTAACATTTTTATTTCCTGGACAGACAGGCAGCTCTTCACTCTAATACAGATTCTGTCTCCATATATACGTCCCAAGTAAGAAAAATGCCTGAAACTAGTATGCATGGCAAAATTCATATGAAATAAAACCTTTTCTGACCCTTAAAACGCAGCACCAAAACATGCACAAACTTCTAAGATTAAATGTTTTACTTTTTCAAGTCACCTAATTAACATTTTATTAGCAAAGTGTCCGTGTGCAGTTAGGGCCAATACAACCCCATTTAAAAAATTCAATAGTTTTTTTTTTCCCTCTAATTATGCTGTGCTTCAGCTTCTACATTTAACACCTTTTAAATAACTGTTGATCTTAAGATTCTGCACTGGCAAAAAAAAAAAAAAAGGATAAAAACTGCAGTGTTTCTGAAATACAGGGATACCTCGTTTTTTAGAAGCACTTCTATGCCCCGGCCCCTGCTTTGTCAGTGTGTGTGAGAGGAAAGCAAACTTTAATCACTCACAGAGGCGAGGGTCAAGGTTCACACTCCAGCCCCGGGGAAACCACCAGCCACGGAGAGGGAAGCAGGGTCTGTGGGACTAGGGATTCTGTTCAAAATCAGGTATGGATCTGAAAGCGAAATCTAGAATTGTAAGCCAGCCTTGAAGAGTGCCAGGGCCTTCGTGGGTTTGCCATCCTCTAGGCTTGGAGACGTGAGGAATTCTTTCGTGGGGAAGGCAGCAAATCCTGTCACAGGCCGGCCCTCAGCTATTGATTACTGCATCTTTTAAAAATGCACAGCAATCGGTCGATTAGGCAGAGGTGAAACTCTCCTACAATACCACCAACAAAAACTGTTCAAACAAAGCCTGGGAGGAAGCCGTGCGCGGCGCTGGAGCACGGTTTTCTGCTCGGGTCACGGAGAGGGGCGACTCCACCTTGGGGCGGAGCGGAGCCGCCGCTCCCCTTCCCCGCGGCCTCCCCCGGGTCGTTCCCCCCGGACGCGGCCGGGCCCCCTTGTCCAGCCGCACCGCACACAATGGCGCCCCGAGCTCCCGCCACCCGGGCCTCGCGCCGCCTGCGCGCCCCCCGCGCGGGCCGCGTTCCCGGGTCCGCGCACAAAGGAGGCGCGTGGGCTCCTCCGCGCCCCGCGCGGCCGCCAGGTGCCGGCGCCCGGCGACCCCGCGCCCGCGCGTCTCCGCGCATTCCCCCGCCGCGGCGGGAACCAGGCGGGGCGCCCACCGCCCGGGGCCTGTGCGCCGCGGGGGGCGCGAGCCCGGGCGGCACTTACTTTCTCGATGGTCCCGGGCAGCAGGCGCTCCAGCAGCCTGCAGAGGACCACCCCATCCTTCAGAGACGCCTGCAGGAAGCCCTCCGGGTCCGAGATGGTTTTCTTGGGCGACTCCAGCACCCCCAAGGTGATGAGCCACGTAACGGTCTGCTCGGCGGAATTCATAGCGGCGGCGCGCCCGGCCTCCCCGCGCCGCAAGCCCGTCTGGGCGCCGTTCACCTCGGAGCGGCCGCGGCCCGGCCGGCTGCGCCCCCCGCCCCCTCCGGCTCGCCCATGGAGAGGCCGGCCCCGCGATTGGCTCGGGCGGCGCCGCGGTCCGGCCGGCTCGCGCTCCCTCGCGTGCGTCCTGGCCGACTGTCAAGTGCCTTTTCATTAGATGCACATGAACCTGCGGCGGCCGCCCGGCGCCGCCCCCGCCGCCGCCTCCCGGCTCCCAGCCGCCGCCGCCGATGACATCACCGCGAGGAGAAGAAAAGACGCGGCGCTGGAGCGGCCCCGCGCCGGCCGGCCGCACACGCACCCCGCGCTCGGGCCCGCCGTGCGCCCCGCCGCGCGCCCCCGCGGCCCGGCCGTGCGCGCCCACCTGCGCCGCCGTGACCTCCGGAGGCGCCGGCCGCCTTAACCGTTTGCGCCCCGCGGGCCCCCGCGCACGCCCTGCGGACGCCGGAGCGCGCCAGGAGGCCCTCGCGCCGGCCCTTCCTCGGACGACGCGGAACCCCTTATTGATTTTCTTAATTCACCAATGTTTCAAGTATTAAGTGCTTCCCAGAATGCTCTTTTGATTTTTGCCAGTTTTATTTCGGGCGGGGGGGGGCGGTGCTGAAAGCGAGACGTTGGCTTCTCCCCGCCACTTCGCAAGCCAGCAATTACAGAACACAAATGATCATTAAATCTGTGAGCAGATGGGCCTAATTCGGGGAGGAATTGATTTCCCGGGCGCTGCTGCGATCCTTGGGGACGGGGACGCCCCCGGAGCGCGCGGCGCGCCGGTGTTACGTGTGCCCCCTGTCGGGAGGCCTGCTCCCGCGCGCGTGACCTCAGCGCCCGCCCGGCTGGCCCCATCCGCAGGACCAGCAACCTTGGAGTGACCCCACTAGAAACTGAGGGTGGCGTTTGGAGCACCATGGGAGGAAGCTCAGGAAAGCAGCAGAGCCTGAACTGGGTGTGTGCCTGTGGCCGGGAAGGGAGGACTGAGAACACGCCTCCGTCCAAACAGGCCACTTGGCCCGAGATGCTCGGTTGGCCATGGGGCTGTGAGCGCACGCGCCGGACTGGAAGCACTCGGACATCCAGCTGTCCCACAGTGACTTGGACACATGCATATGACCAGAGGAGAGAGCCCCTTCTTACAGGAAGGACGGTGTAAAGATTGCCCTGGACACGTGTGTCCCTTTACTCCCTCCACAGTCCCGAGGGCTTTCCCTGCTTGTTTCCCCGATGGCCTTCGGCAGTTTAAAACAGCATTAGCAGAGCTACTGTATGCCAGGCACATATTTAGTCCACTTAATGACAAAGGCTAGAAGCCATATAAAACTTTTTTAAAAATAGAGGCTTAACTCCCTCTTTCTTTGCCTTCGTTAGTCCAGAGGACTTCGATGGCAATCATGAATTGTATGGATTTCCAGCTTTGAGCTAAGCAGTTACATTTGCGAACACACAGTCATTGAAAAGGCGGCCACATCCTCGGTGGCCATAGTTACCTCTTGTTGAGCTCACCAGGGCTTTGCCAGAGCTCCTTCCTGGCATCACGTCACACCATCATTACTACAGTCTTACGAAGTTTGTCTCCTTGTCACCATTGTACCACACCCAAGCGGTAGAGAGATGGGACGCAACACATCCCCTGTTTCTAGACAGCTTCTCTACACGCTTTCCAGCAAACAGAGCAGGTAAGAGTTTTATTAAGGTCTATGCCCAAAGACTCTATTAACAAAGGGGTATTGGGGCACCTGGGTGGCTCGGTCGGTTAAGCGTCTGCCTTCAGCTCAGGTCCTAATCTCAGGGTCCTGGGATCGAGCCCCCATCGGGCTCCCAGCTCAGCGGGAAGCCTGCTTCTCCCTCTCCCCCTTCTTGTGTTCCCTCTCTCTCTGTCTTTCTCTCTCTCTCTCTCTCTTAAATAAATAAATAAAATCTTAAAATACACGCACACAAAGGGGTATTGACCTAAGCATGGTTGTCCACTGAGATTCCTGTTTACTCTCATTACTGCTGAATTGAAGAAATAATTTAGAATACAGCCATTACAATTTCAAATTACATTAAATTGGGTCTGGTGCTTATAATCTGATAAACAAGACTAAGATTCAACTTGACTCAACCAAATAATCCTAAAGAAAGGCAGCTCTAGGGAGTCGCATTAGGTGACCAATAACTGGGCAGCCAATTATTGTCAGAAGGGAGACCCACTATAACTGATCTTAGAAGTCTCTGAACATTTCAATGCTTTGTGGCTACTGGTGGCATTCTTTTACCTTGGATGGACATTTATTTCAAAAAAGTTTACTTGGAAGGGTTTCATTCTAGAAAGTAACATTGTTCAAAGCTAGTTTTTAGGTGTTTGAGCTATTTTAGTATCCAAGGTGTGCATTTGGTTAAACTTACCATTTTTCCAAGTTCCTATTACAGAAGGCACGGGCTGTGGAGAACTCATTGTTCTGTTGGGTTGGAGCCAGTTAAGCCTGTTGTCAAGAGAAGATTTTGGTCCTGTGGATGCTATTCGACTCCCCCCAGAACAGTGTGGAACAGCTCTCAGCGCAGGCATGTCTCCTCTGGTTCCCTCATCTCTCGTGAGAGGGTTTAGCTTCACACCCCACGTGGCCCCTGCTACCCCTCAGAGCCCCAGCCCCGGTCAACACTGCAGGAGACCCACCATCGGCTGCCCCCAGTAGCTCAGCTGAACCCCACCTGAGCTCAGCTGAGCGGTGCTGATTCCATTGGCTGGCTTGTTGGTACTTGGAGGATGGTCTCTCCCCTAACCTGAAGCCAGACAGGCAGATGGCGATTGGCCTAGCAGTGTGTCGCCTTCACTCCGGACTGGGGGGGTGGGGGGAGGTTATTGAATTAGACCATCATCTAGATGGAAACACGCATTAAGAAGCAGTTCTATGAAGCTCATCGGAGCTACTGTAGGTATGTTATTGAAGGCATTCTTTTTATTAAACAGTGTCCTATTTATTTGGCATAAATATGGTCAAATGCTAAACATGAAAGATGCAAGGCAGGAAAAAGGTTTATAAACATACATAGCTGAAAATTACACAGGATCAGAAGACATCTTACCAATACACTGTTTTATGAAACATCACATCAACCAGAAGCTTATCCTAGTGTGGGTTCCCCCAGAAGCAGATCCTGAGCCAACAACTGGGTGCAAGCAATTTATTTGGGATGCAATCCAGGAAAGGACAGATGAAGAAAGGGAGAAAGTGAAACAGGGAAGAGACAGAAGTGAATCAAAGGTGTGTACGGAGTAGCTGGGGCCCAGCTCTCCTGGGGCCTCTGAGAACCAGCATGGGCAGGCCCCAGAGTCCTCTGACCAGGGGACGGGCAGGCTAAGCTTCATCCCTCCACTCCCATCCCCCTGGATTGCAGGTCTCCCCTGAGGCGTGGCCTCCAACTCCACAGAGCCTCATGTCATGAGAGCAGGAAGCACAAGGGCCCAGTGTGGACCACTGGCAGCGGCAGTGAGCGGTGGTGGTGAGTGGTGGTGGCGGTGAGCGGCAGTGAGCACTGGCGGTGAGCGGCAGTGAGCGGTGGTGATGATGGTGGTGAGCAGTGGTGGTGAGCGCGAGCAGCAGTGAGCAGTGGTGGTGGTGGCGGTGGGCGGCAGTGAGCATTGGTGGTGAGCAGCAGTGAGCCTGGCGGTGAGCGGCGGTGAGCAGTGACGGTGAGCGGTGGTGGTGAGTGGTGGTGGTGAGCGGAGGTGAGCAGTGGTGAGTGGCGGTGAGCACTGGCGGTGGTGAGTGGCGGTAAGTGGAGGTGAGCACTGGCAGTGAGCGGTGGCGGTGAGTGGTGGTGGTGAGCGCAGTAAGTGGTGGTGGTGAGCGGTGGTGAGCGGCGGTGAGCGGCGGTGGTGAGCGGAGGTGAGCACTGGCGGTGGTGAGCAGCGGTGAGCGGAGGTGAGCACTGATGGTGGGCTGCAGTGAGCAGTGGCGGTGAGTGGTGGTGGTGAACGGAGGTGAGCACTGACGGTGGGCGGCGGTGAGCAGTGGCGGTGAGTGGTGGTGGTGAGCGTGGTGAGCGTGGTGAGCGGTGGCGGTGAGCGGCGTGGTGAGCAGAGGTGAGCACTGGCAGTGGTGAGTGGCGGTGAGCGGCGGTGAGCAGAGCCAACGCTGCTTCCACCACTTGGTGCTGGACACTTCTTCTAGATCCTGGGGCACGACACCTTGTAAAAGCGGTTAGTCCAGCGTATATGCCGCATCTTGAGGGCAGGTCTCTAACCTGAGGAAGTCACCGGCGAGCTGGTTCCCTGCAAACCCCCATCCGGTGAGATGAACTGCTTCTCCCTCCAGGCCTGGGGCTTCCGATGTCATCAGCTTGCCGCCAAACAGCTGGTGTTACCGAATAGCAGGTCAGAATCTGCCTCTACCTTGGGCAGCTAGGTCAATCTGGGTGAGAGGGATCCCTGCTGTAGGTCTCTTGCACACCTCCACCCCTGCCACCGTGGCCGCAGGGGTGCAGGCGAGGCCCGGGCGGCTGCCCCCGCTACAGATGTGCCATTGGTGTGCCTGCTTGCTGGGTGCCCCTTCCTCCCTGATGCTCTCAGGAGACTGAAGCAGGAATCAGGACCCACAGCAGCCCCTCCACCTCCTTGTAAGCCCCCCTTGCTGGTTCCAGGCCCCTAGACGAGGAGCCCTGCCACCCACCCGCCCATGCATGCGCACCTGCCCAGGACGACCGGGTAGCCGCGCAAAGCTTCACTGACCCGAGGGCTTCTCCTCCCCTCGTCCTGTGCCCGCCCTGGAGCCGGACGGTAGCATGGCAACAGTCCATATGTCCTTTCGTGGTTCACACCAGATTAGCGAAGTCACAGGCGCAAGCTGAGCAGCTTTGGGAACCCGGCCAACGGAGGCAGGTGACTTGGAGGTCTGGACCATTTGTGTCAACAGCTTACCCGTGGCCTCTGGCCCTGCTCCCGCCCAACCGAAGCGCACCCCGCCCAGCAGGATGTATGGCTGCAGTGCCGGCTCCCGGGGCATCGGGAGAACTCCTCGGTAGCCCTCGTTCCGGCACTCTAGCTGCCTTGGAGAGGAGCGAGCTGAGACCCTCACTGCAGCCCAGCCGAAGGAGCCACCTCTGCCTGGCCTGCGGGCTGGCTCTGACACCAGCATGCTAGTCCTGAGATAGAAGCGCCATCATAGCCCAGACCCTCGGCCTTATCTGCCTCTCTGACCCCACCCACCTACCCACCCTCATAGGCAGTGGTAGCTC